GATCGGCAAATGATCGGCAAATGATCGGCAAAATGATCAACAAATGTGATAATATGAAGTATGTCCACCCTGCTGATCAAAGGGGAATTGATAATTTTATCTTTGAACCTTCGATCAGATGTAACATACATAAAAATGCATGATTCCGATAAAAGGTAGTTCTAGGATTTTGGAAACTAACTTGAGGGGGTAGTAAGTGATGACGAGTTTAAATCAATTGATTTCACAACATTAAATCAGAAAAAAAAATGACAATGCCTCTGCGACACCATGTATGCAAGAAAAATGCATGATTTGTTTAAATCTTTTAATAATTTGGCATCTTCGCATTCACTGCATTTTACCAGGTATAATAAATCTTAGCATTGAGAATGTAGTGTGAAAGAGAAGGAAATCATTCGGTATATAGATAACTAATAATACAGGTTTTTTAAGGAAAGAGCTTTGTGCTAAATCTTTTGGACTTTCTGTGTGAAAGCAAATGCTGCACCAATCATTGCTTTGATCCTTAAATGTGTATGCGATTTGTTATTACATGACTAGACTAATGGAGTATCAATAAATATTTTGCACGCAATTTTAAGGCTTATATAATTTTCTTACAATAAATGTCCGACAATTATCGAAATTGCATGATTAATGGTGCTAAAGATTTCATAGATTAAAAATTGTTAAGCGAGGAAGATTAGAAGATTTAGAATAAATTAATTGGAATATTGTTTACATTTAATAAGAATCAAAAATGCGAATTTCGGAGAAGTTTAAAAGTTAAATATCTTGATAGAACTCAAATCTCCTGATTTGTTAATATCTAACTTGGATATATTTCTTTCAATTTAATATTCCAAAATTTGGTTGAATTCTTTCTTTTTCCTTAATTCGTGTTACAATATATAAATTTAAAAAGATAAAACTTTATTACTATTGCTGAGATCTGCTAGGCATATTTATGCACGGGTATAATCGCACGACATTCTTATCGGTGAAATATGCAGATTTGATATTAGTTATTTTGAAATCTCAGAACGAATTAATTACCCGGAACTGTTAACCATTATCTTTACCGCTTGAAGATAAACCGATTCTTTTTATAGAGATCGGAATCGATTTGCCGTTTATTTCTATAAATATCATCTGCTGTGTCACGCGATTTAATATGTTTAATCGACTATCCGATATCTCATTTAAATATTTGGTATTTGATGATGTGACAACGAACGCGACCAATGCCACCGTTAATTGCATATCTGCTACGTACGCGCAATATGTAACCAAACAAACAAAAATCATTATAGAAACTAAAAAAAATCATTTTAAAAGGGTTTCTCATGAGTGTGAAAACCTTATATTACTATAAATAATTACTTCTTTACAAATTTGGATTAGATCAGGTTGGATCAGTTGATAATGTTACACACCATTTCTAAATGAATCATGTAATTTAAATTTACTATATCACTATATATTAAACCTCCTCTTTTTTTTTAAAATATTATGGGTTTTTCGCTTTTTTTTTTTGGCTTCTCATGACATTATAAAGAACTATAGAGAGAGTTGGTTTTTCTATTTTTTCCTGTGGGACTTTTCCTTTATGTGAAAAGATAATTTTGATTAACGTTTCCTTTTGTTATTTTATATATATATATATATAAATATAAAAAAAAAAGAGAAAAAAAAAAAAAAAAACAAAACTCAGCGTTGTAATATATTTTTTTGTGTTTTTCCTTATTAGGCGATCACTTTCGATATAAATGTATAACCTTGTTTAATAGCTTTCTTTTTATACATACACGCATAAAAAAAAGAGAGTGAGACTGAGTTACTTGATTCTATGACCATAGTAATTTTATTTTAATAATTTATTGTATAATTAGTAATTGCATTTAATCCTCTCCCTACCAATACGAATTTTAAAAAATATACAATATATTTAATTTAATTCAATATATTTGAACAATGGTTCGATATAATAAAAACAGTTTAATCTATTCAAACAAGTCAATAGTATGGCAAATATGGATGTTAATTGGCATTACAATAATTTTTGGATTTGAGGACATTAATGCTGAGCGTAAGTAATTTTTTCTTTTTATTTGGTTTTACTTTACTCGTGAGGTATCGATGTGCGAATAAGAAGTGAGGTTAGACTACGCGATGGCATTTTTACCCTGCTAAGCCACCTCATTGTCGATGACGTAATCTATGGAATCCGCATCTCTAATATGTGTATATATTTATACACGCATATATATATATGTATTTTTTTTTTACTTCAAAATCTAGAAAAGTGTTGCTATAGCGCAAAATCATCATTGCAAACCGAGCCAAATCTTTATCAACTAAATATAACGGCATCACACATAGATTCAAGAAAGGGCAACAACGTATATGTGACAGCAATATCATTTCCAAAAGGATATTTCATAACGACAAAACCATTTTCACCATTTAGTAAGGTAGTTTGTACACAGGTACAGCCACAGTCGGGAACGGGAACGGGAGATCTGATGCAATTTGAATGTGATTCAAGAGATCGAGCAGTCTTTTTCGTTATATTTGATTTATCGATACAACCCGTACCACTTCCGAATTCAACAATAGCACCAGTGTCTGTATTTATACTCGGTGACAAATGTCAAAATGTTGCGTTTTGTGTTGATTTGGCGGAAAAGAAAGAGTCTGAAAATTCTGATAAGATGTCGCTCGGTCCACTTGGTACATGGCCAAAGTATGCCATTGTGCTCGGTGGGGTGGTATTGGGGATATCATTGTTGGCCACTTGTTATCTAGTTTATAAGAGGAATAGACCTGGTGATAGGCATAAAGATACAAGTATTACCCCAAGTACTGGTAATTACGATGATAAGGGTCAAAATCGTGCCTTATTCGCTCCCAATTCATTATTAAGAACTGATGATAATGGTCTACCACCACCTCCCATTGAACTTCCAAAGAATACTTTAATTAAATTTGGTAGTGTGACTGCTCATTCTCCTGAAAAGTCAAATGGTATTCGGACTATGAACTTACCTAATCAACAACCTTCCTCCCTAATGAAATCTTATACTACTAAAAAGAAAAAAGATAATAGGGATAAGGATAATAAACATCAGGAGATTCATATTTATGATAATGTAAAATCGGATGATGAGTTTTATGGTGATAAAATTCCCTTACCTATGCCCGTATCAACCGTTGTTATTGATATGCCTGCTCATAGTGCTCATAGCGGAAGTCGTAGTTTGGATAAATCTTCATCAAGTTACAATAAATCTAGGAAAAGTGGCGATAATAATAGATTTTCGGATTACTCAACCTCTGATATGTCAAAAACAATTTCATATAATGATGAATCGGATGAAATAAGTGATGACAACAAGAATGAATTTTATTCATCAAAACGTTCAAGTTCAACTTCAGTTCATCATAAAAAATCAAGATCAAAACCACGTAATGGAGAACACGAATCACGGAGAGATAGAAAATTATCTAATAATCATAATAGCGGATCCCACAGAAGAGGTGTTGAAGAAGATCGCGAAGGTCGCAGAGTTGATCGTGGTACTTCAAAAAGACATCGTTCACGTTCTTCTCCTCCTCCTTCTACATCGAAAACAACCGATTTACACAGAGGTGCATCCACTAGAGTGAGACAAGCCGATCGTGGAGATCATCGTGAAGAAAAGCATTCAAATACCGATTCAATAAGTAAAAACAAGGGATCCTCTGTGGGCGTTCATCGCTCAAAAACTACGCCATTACACCACATACACCAAAGTGACAAGGACGCGGGAAAGAGGAACAAAAAATCAACAACGCTTGCTAATTTAACTAGAAGTAATACTAGCAAGCATAAACCAAGAGACTTAATTTCCCATGCTGATACGGAATCAACCACCTCATCTTCGGATGTTCCATTGGGTGATAGGTTACCCTTAGCTATGTTGGCAAAATTACCACCATCAGGCCAATCAAATTCTTGGAGGTCTAACGATCTTAATATGATTAATGATGAGGACGACGATACAACTCCTTTGGGTCGAATTAGCACTAGTAAACCCGATTCATTTTGTGCGGCATCAACTTCTTCTCACACTCGCCTGTTATCTGCTGATAAATCATCGCCGGAAAAGAGTGGTCAGTTTTTCGATTATGAGGATAATAAATATGAGTCGGTGTTGGATGAAGTACTTGGCATTGCTGACTATTTAAATTCCGAAAAAGGCAGTAGCTATAAAGGTTCCGAAGATAATTATCCTATTGGTAAAAGTCATTACAACGAAAAGAAAAGTGAGATGGTTAGTGATGAAGAAGTACCCATCGGTCAGTTAAGAAGTCGATAAAGGAATTGAGTTTTTTATTTATGTATTTTTATTTCTTATTTTTCTAGTGTTTGGATGTATTAATAATTATTAGCATATTTGGAGGAAAAATTGTTTTGTATTTTAGAATTTCCCTTTTTTTTACATTTCTACAATTTCTACATTTTTGTTTATTAAAATTGCAAAAAAAAAAAAAAAAATTTATTTATTTCATTTCTTTGGTGATTTTTTTACAGAAATTCTTATGTAAAACTAAAACTAAATGCATAAAAAAAAAAAATTCCTCATAATATTAAGGTTTTTATTTTTTGCGCACCCGCATATAATTTTCTAACAATAATTAAATTTAAAAATTACGCATGTATAAAAATTTAATATAATAAATGATTAAAACCTTAGAAATGAACATATATTTTTTTATACGCATCATATTCATATTATATAAATTTTATAAATTTAAATTAAATATGTTGTTTGATCTTTTTGATCTTTAGTACAGGCTCCTTTCGGTCGCCAGGCTCGAATTACTCATTTTCTTTTTTTTGATTAGGATTTGATGGACAAGTTGCATGATTATGTTCTACATTGAAAAATAATTCACCAAAAACTTCATTATAATTTGATGAGTTTTCCTTTGAATCTTGCAGTTCCTGATGTTCTTCCTTTAAGGATGCCTACTTATTGGATTTTACTAAATTTTCTGATCTACTTCTAATTCATATAAATAAAGTTGGTCACCTATAATTTTTAATGATAAAACTATTTTATTCTTATTTTTAATATATTCCTTAAGCAAATTAATGAAAAACTCTTACAAGAAATCTTATTAGCTTGCTTAACCAATCTATGGATATTAACACAGAGTTGGCAAATAACCAGATCTTTTGTTAGAAGATATCAAAAAACACTGCAAACAAAATTTATTTATGATGCATTACCTGGACTGCTTTGTTCATTTGATGATAGATTTGCAACTCCTTCATCTTCAACTGATGGATTTCTCAATGTCATTTAATGCCAACTCCCATACGAATTTGTTACACTCATTCATAAAATTACACATAATAAGAATATATGTTATACAATCATTATGAATACCTTAATTTTTTTCTTTAAAAATATATATAATCTTATATTGAAACATCGCTGCAAACTTCTCACTGATTATAAAGCATCTAAAGGTATCACTAAACAAAACAAACGAATGCAAAATACCTGCAAACGTTTACCGTACTCTCCTAAACAACCTTCTTCTCTAATTTGGGAATCATGGATTCATTTAACGAATAATATTGGTAACTCTTGGACGGATTTTTAGATAGGCACTGACTCTTTCTTTTTCTTTTTCTTATGATTACAGTAGTCATTAAATATGTATTTAGTGGGTCTGTTGGAGGAAAAAGACGATGATAGGTCGATTCAAATGGGTTTGTAATATAATTACAGAAGATAGCTAGTACTTTTAAATTAGTTTTTTGTTTTTGCTTTTGTATTTACACTAAATAAAGTTATTGGCAGTGCAACATCGAAAAAAAAAATAACCAGATTTTTTGAAAAACTATTTGACCATCAGATCAATAAATCATATTTTAATGGTTACTTGATGAGGTCTATTAGTTAATTGATTTGAGTGATACAGTTTTATTTTTATTAACAAATAATCAAGGTCATTTGAGGCAGTATTTGCCAAATGATTATGATTTGCAAATGATTCAAATGACAAATGACCTATTATTTTAATAATTTTTAAATATAGCATATTTTGTAATTTGTTATTATATATATAAATAAATTAAATTTATTAAATTATTTAATATTAAAAAAATATTTTATATTAGTATATTAAATTATTCGAAATCTGAACAAGTCAACTTAAATTACAAGTCAAACAAGTTCAGTTAAATTGAGCCAAGTGCTAAACTCAAGCTAAAAATAAACAATTTTTTAAGTTTGTATAAAGAATGATAGAAGAATCATTCTAAGAAACAATAAAAGTATTATTCTGATAAAATAATAGAAAAATAATTTTAAAAGAACAATTAAAAGCATTATTCTAATAAAATGTTAGAATAATCATTTTATCATAATGATTAAAAGTATCATTCTGATAAAATAATTAAAAAATCATTCTATCAGAATAATAAAAACTATTGTTCTGATAGAATGATAGAAGAATCATTCTAAAATTTCTTAAGAATAATAAAAGATCATTTTGAAAAAAACAATTATTTATTAAGAATGATAAAAGATTGTTTTAAAGAAATGATAAAAAAATTGTTTTTATAAAATGATAATACATCATTCTATTAAAATAATAAAAAATTCATTTCTTATAAATAATAAAAGATCATTTTAAAGAAATGATAAAACAATCATTCCTTAAGAATGTTAAAAGATCATTCTAAAGGAATAATAAAACCATTATTTCTTAAAAATAATAAAAGTCAATTTTAAAGAAACAATAAAAAATTATTCTATCAGAATAATAAAAAAATATTCCTTAAAAATAATAAATTATCATTCTTTTAGAAATGATTTTTTTGTATTACTTTTATGTAATAATCTTTTTTTGTTCTTAAGAAATAATTGTTTTATTATTTTTTTATAATAATCTTTTATTATTCTTAAAGAAATCATTATTTTTAAAAATACTTGTTTTTATCATTCTTAAGAAACAATTGTTTTTATAATTCTTAAAAATTAATTATTTTTATTGTTCCTTTAGAATAAAAGTTGAAACTAGCAAAAAAAAAAACTTAACTGATTATTAACCGGTTAATTAAATCTTAATCAGTTAATTAACCAGTTAATAATAAAACATTTTCATAATTTTGATAATAAATATTTGTTTTTATTTAATCGTTTAGAATAATTACAAACTATAAATTTATTAAAATTAAAGTTTTAATGATATTCTATAACAGTATTAAACTAAAAAAAATTAAAGATTATATTTCCTATTTAAACATATGAGAACGTTTCCAGTAAAATCAAATCATGAAGCATAGTAAATCATATGATTTGTAATGTGATTTTACTGGAAACGCTCCCATATGTATAATTTAAAATATATAAATAAATATATATAAAAAATAAAATATTTTTATTTTTAAATTATAATTATAATATTAGTATATTATTTATAATAGCATTTAAATATTATTATTAAATTAAAATATTTATCTTATTAACAAGTAAATTAAATATATTTTAAATTTCATTATGACATTTTCAGTATCTGAAAAAAATTGTTCATTTGAAACAGATATTTTTGAAATAGATAAATATTTATATGCTATAATAGCTAATATAGAATATTTTTATTTATTTTTATTTTACTAATCAAAAGGATTTGTTATCAACTTCATTTTTTTTTTTATTATATTGTTATTCTTCATCTTTAAAAGTATATTAAAAATAAAATCATTAGATAATTTTCTTTTAGTTACAGATAAATCTTTATTTGGATTTAATTCATATTTTTAGAGCTTCTAATGAGTCGAGTTGACTCACAAGTCAAATGAGTTAACTTGAGTTTGAGTCAAATCGAGTCAAAAATTTTCTGACTCATTTGACTCAAGTCGAGTCATTAGTCGAGTCAAGTCAATAAATTGATTCGACTTATTTCAACTTAAGTTAACTTGAGTTAACTCACATTAGGGACCCATAAAATTTTTTTCGATTTGAAATAAAATTTCTTTTGATTTATCAAAAAATTTTGATTTATTTTGATTTCCATAATTTTGGCTGGAATTAACAATTAGGTATGTAATTCTGACTGAAATTAAGATCAAGTACCAATAGATGAAATGTTTTTATTATATGTAATTATAAAATTAATAAAATTAATTATATGCGATTGAAATACAAAGTATTAAGCATTTGAAGGGAATCTTGACTTAGATTTTCTCTACTCTCATCCAAAATATTATTATAAACAGAAAAATTGCATTCTATACTACAAGAAGAAATAGGCATCCAAATATAATCTAAAGCAATTTGACTTAAAAGAGGTAGATGATTATGTGAAACTTTTTGCCAAAATTCCTCCAAGTTTGAATATTCAATTAATCCCAAATCAAAGTTGCAATATATGGTCCATTCCTGAATGAGATCACACGAAGGATTTGCAAATTCAACTATTGAATTACTATAAAAAAGAATATCTCAGGTTGAGGTAAGATTTACAAATTTTGGATCAAATATTTGAGTTGCTTTAAAAAGTGCATAACATGGGTGATTTGAAATATGTTTCCTATATTTTTTTAGAAGCTGCATTATAAGCAGATTTGAATATTGACTGAAATGATCCAGATGTAAAATTAAGGTTTTGAATAGTAGTAATTAAAGATTTACCAAAATTTTCTACTACCATTATTACCTCATTATTAATATAAGCATCTAATTATTCTAACCGCCTCTTAATAAAAGGAAATAAAAGAAGGTTTTCTTGCTAAAAAAAATTTAAATCATTTATAAATTTTTGTGATGAATTTTAATAAAAGAAAGATAAATTTGAATGCAACCATTTTTGGTTGTATTATTGTAGATTTCCACTAGCTTTTCTATAGTTTTATTATTATCATTTTTTTGTTCTTTCAAATAGAAGTCTTGAAGAAGTTGATAATGATTATTTACATAAAAGGCTATTTTAAACCAAGAATTCCATTGAGTATGGTGGCTATCATCTATAATCGACAAAATTATCAAGTGACTTTAAAATTTTATAAATGAAAAATAAAATAATAAAATACAATTTTAACCTGATAAATCAATAAAGTAACATAAACTGAACATTTTTATCGGCTTATTTTATAAAATATAAATAATAAAATTTGAATTTATTTCAGTTCAAAGTTCAGGAATTTTTTGTATGACATATATAGTAAAAATGAAAATTTTGGACTAAGGATCATGTGAAATTTGAGACAATCTTCACATGAAAATCAATGCATTTAACCTTTTTCTCACGCTTTGACCGCTCAATAATAATGACTCATCCATCAAAAAGAAAAATTAAGGTCAAAAAGCAAGAACGAGATAACAATGGAAGGTTTGAAAAAAAGCCATATATTGTTGATGATTAGGGAGATGGGGAGATGAAGATGACAGCGGGTAGGATGATGAAGTTAATTTGTTAAGTGAAAAAAAAGGTAAATGTAAGTTAGTTTGGTCAGATAATGCAGAATTTAAACAAAAAAAACATGAATCTTACCTTGCCAGAAAAACTAAAAAATCAACATACTAAAAAATCAACATATTTTGATAAATATGGACCCAGTGGCTTTTTCACAAAGACTGCAAAAGGAACTTCAAAAATATCAACGTTTTTTAAAAAAAATCAATCAACTCCTGAAGACTTTGAAGAAGTTTTGGATGATATGGAAGATAAGGGACAAAATCAACTCAATCTAAAAAAAAGAATCGAAAATTTAAAGATTGAGTTTAAAGAACAGCAAAAGTCATTAACCATAGCTGAATATAATAAGAAAAGAGCTATTTTTGAATATTTGAGATGATTAGATAATAATGGAAATGGGAAGATAAAGGTCAGTGTAGAGGCTGCACAATTGTGTTTTATTGAGCATACACTATATAGAGTGCAAGTTATCTATTATTGGGCAAATTATTAGCTTCACTATGACCATCTTCCAATAAGCCATCAAGGAATACATCAAAAAACAATACGATTGATTGATGATGAAAATATAGCAGAAAAATGCCATATCTGGATTCATTCTCAAGGTGGAATAACAATTCCACTAAAATTTAAGGAATTTATTGAGCAAAAATTGCTCATTAATTCTGGAATAATTAAAAAGAAACTATTAGTGTGGTAACTGTAACATGTTGGTTAAATATACTTGGTTATTATTTCCAATCACAGAAACAAGGTAATTAAAGTTTCTTTTTTCTTTTTTATTATAATATGCTTATTACTTACCATTAACTAATATTATAGTCACATATTAGGATGATCATGAGTATCCTGATGTCATAAAATATCAAAAATTATTTTTAGACGAAATCTACAATTATGAAAAATTTATGGCAAAGTATGAAGGTGAAAATATGGATCGGATTTCACCAACACTAGGACCTAATGATAAAGAAATAATCCTCGTAACACATGATGAATGTGTATTTTACTCTAATGATGGAAAATAAGGAATATAGGCAAAGTCTGGAGAATTGCCATTACGTAAAAAAGGAAATGGCCGCTCCATTATGGTTAGTGAATTTTTATTAGAAGAGTGTGGCTGGCTCAAGTGAAATGCATAACAATTTCAAGAAAACCCTTTCATACCTAAAGAAGCACATACTTATCACCAACTGGGTAAAGACTGAGAAGGTTTTTGAACAAGTGAATATTTAATAGAACAAGTTAGAACAAAGGCTATTTCTATTTTTAAAATTCTCTTTCCTAATTGCGTTGCATTGTTTACATTCGATAATAGTTCAAACTATGCAACATTTAAATCTGATGCTCTTGTAGCCAGCAGAATGAACTTAAAATCTGAAGAAAAGCAACCAAAGATGAGAAATACCATTTTTGGACTAAATAATCAGTATCAATCAATGATAAATGAAAATGGTGAACCAAAAGGAATGAAACAGGTTCTAATTAAACGTGGCTTATGAAAAGATGGGTTAAATGCCAATTATCAGTTGTATAAAGATAAGGTAAATGATGAAATCCAGATAGATTGTTGTACGCGACAGATTATTTCATTGCAATCTGATTTTTTGGCACAAAAAAGTGCATTGGAAGAAACAATATTAGAAGCTGGGCATAAATGTATCTTTTATCCAAAGTTCTATTGTGAACTTAATTATATTGAATGATATTGGGAGGCGGCAAAAAGGTTTGCTCGGGAAAACTGTAATTATTTGTGGTCAGGCTTGCAGCATACTGTTCCTATAGCCTTAGAATCTGTAAATATAATTATAATAAGAAAGTTTGCTAGGAAGGCATGACGTTATATGAATTTGTATAGGAAGGGAATCACTGGTAAACTGGCAAAATATGCTGCCAAAAAATATAAATCTCATTGATGTATCCCCGAATATGTATTGGCAGAATTAAATGAATAAAATCACGACACGATAATATGAAGTCACGTGAGTTAATATAAAAATCATGTGATAATGAACATTTTTAAATTTCGGACTATCTTCAATTATAGATGATAGCTACCATAGCAACAGGAAGAGAAACATTCGTAGGATTTTGTATACCATTTCTTGATAAAAAGAAAGATATTGTGCATGCTGAGCTTTAGCCAAAATAAAGGTTTTCTTTATATTTGCCAATTGGATTTTTACTAAATCAAAATGCGTGATAGATATCCATGCTTGACTAATCAAAAATATACAAAAGAGATTTAGTTTAAGTTATCAAATGCCTTTAATTTAATTAATTTAATCAAACTATTTCTTACCTAATAAGATTAAGAATATGCACTAAACAAAGGTAAATAAATAAGTTGAGGCATAATTGGTTTGAGAACTTCGCGATGACTTTTTTTTATATAGGATGCTGAATTTGATACCAAGAGACGTGGAAATTAAATGGTATAGACCATTTTATTAATATACGAATGATAAGCTGACCAATAGTGACATTGTTAACAGAATTTAAGAAATTAACCGCTATATGTCTCGTATTACTATGATAACTAAACAAGATATTAACAATGCTTTGAGCCCAACTATCAGTTGTTTCATCAACAATTATTAATACTATTTTATTTCAAAAAACTTCTTTTAAATCATCAATATGTTGTTGATAAATTTCTGGTAAGTAATTTCACCTTAATGCATCAGCTTGTGGAATTGCGCCATCTTCGTGACAATGTTTTTTAAGAAAAGGTTAGAGTGCATTTATTTTTTCTAAAGGAATGTTTGCTTTAACAAATGCTTTACAAGATCCTGAACTACAACCTTTTTAAATTCTGCAATAGATAAAACTCTGTCTAAAGTTTGAGGATAGATATTTTGTGCAGCTGTTTCATAGTTTCTTTTATTTTTGATATGAACTTTACTTTTAACATGTGAAGAAACACTAACTTTGTATTTCCAACTAACAGAATGTTCACAAAAAAGACATACGAGGGAATTATTAAGGATGTCAAAAGTATTTGGAAAATGTTTTTGGCGAGTATATGGGGTAACTCATTTGGTTTTGGCTGACATCTTTGCAACGAATACATTTGCATTAAAAAATTATTTAGATAAATCTAATCAATATCCAATCATATTTTTGTACCTCGTAATTTTGAACCAATAATATTGTTACGGTCAGTTCTTTATGTTGCTTAAATGTTAAAAGCGAACGGATAATATATGTGGTAAGCAGAAGGTTTTATTTGTAGTTG